CACAAGAGTGTACAGGCAGGTCTGACGCAACTTCTTACTGATGGATCAGGGTTGACTCCGGTGTAAATCATTTAAAAAAAACAAACAAAAACAAAAAAAGGCGATTAGGTGGCAGTGTTTGTAAAATCACTCAGGATCATGTTTCAGCAGAGGGTTAGTCTGGCCAAACCCTCGAATCAAGCCCCAGACCTCTGCACTGTAAGGTGGACAAGCTAAACCGTGCTGCTGTAAATAATAATAATAATAATAATAATAATAACGATAATAATAATAATAATAATAATAAAAATAATAAATATTGTTGTCTACTAAAACATTGAGCATACAGGATATCCTTACACATGCTGTGTGAAACCAGCAAGTCTCTAACAAACAGCATGAAGACGTCAGTATCATGTTTGTCGCTGACGGGGATGCTGAAATTGTAATTACAAGCGTGTATGACGGCACTCCTGTTAGGTACAAACTGAGTTTGAATGTTAACAAGCAACTGCAGTATTTCAACAGACATAGCTTCGATGGGCTGCATTAATGGCCGAGTAGATAACAGCTTGATGTTGGGGTGAATCTTTTCACGGTTGTGCACGAACAAAAAAGTCCATTTTTGCCGATAATTTCCTCTGAATAAAATATCACAGTGGAAATGGCCCAGCATTATGCAAAAAGGTAGAAATTGTATAGCAAAGGAGAAGTGGCAAAACTGTTCTAAACAGGCTGCTGGTGAAGGTGCACAATGCACACAACAGCAAAGAAATGCCCCCAAAGAATCAACTTCATATCGTTTCAAATTAAATGAAGATGAACAACATAAGTGTTGAAAAAAAAAAAAAAGGCACAACATTCAAAGTTCAACTACAAACACCCCCACCTACTTTGTTTTCGGTAAGTGGTGTTAGGGGGTTGTTTCTTTTTTTTTGTTTGTTTGTTTCAAGTTATACCGTTGAACAGTGTGTGGTCTGCCGGAAAAAAAAAAGGCACAACATTCAAAGTTCAACTACATACACCCCCACCTACTTTGTTTTCGGTAAGTGGTGTATTAGGTGGTTGTTTCTTTATTTTTGTTTGTTTCAAGTTATACCGTTGAACAGTGTGTGGTCTGCCGGTGGTCTTTCTGGGTTGACTGCATTTGCACACATGCCTTATTCACACTTTTGCAATTGTTGCTTTTCCGCTCCAGAAGGTTTGAGCCCACAAACACGTCATATTGCAGATGGATTGAGTCATGCTTTAAAAATGATTGCACATAACAAATATTTTAAAGAGGGGCTGACTGTTGCTTTAAAATGCACGTGTACCTGTCTGCCTGTATCGTATAGAGCTTATGAAGCCGTTGTGGGTGAGATGGATGATTTTGACGCTGCCAGAGGCCTCATCGTAAGTGAAGGTCACCAAGGTGGAGTCATATGTCACCTCAGAGAGATGTGCTGCTGGTGTATACCTTGAAAAAGCAGAAAATAAAACATGAGTTGTTTGTAATGTAGCAAAATGTTGATATATCAGGGGTCCCCAACCACTAGCCCGTGAGCCAATATGGACCTGACCACGGCGGGCCACACAGTTGAAAGAATAAAACAAGTTCTAGTTTATTTATTATTTGAAGCTAAAACATATTTTACTTTGAAAAGTGACCGGATACTCCGTGTTTCATCCGTTCTCATTGAAGACACCTCGAGTAACCTGCTGAACTTTGCATTCTTTTGCGTCTCCACGCAGCACTTGTTTTTTTTTCATTTTTGTTGTATTATATTTTGTCTTAACACTAAAAACTGAAAAACACAGATCAATTCCACAAGTCCAACCAATTTAATTGTTTTTTTTTTCATTTTTGTTGTATTGTATTTGGTCTTAACACTAAAAACTGAAAAACACAGATTAATTACACAAGTCCAACCAATTTAATTCTAAATCACAATAAGAGCAAATCAGGGCTGTGGAAGTTATACTATGGCTTTTCGAAGCTTGAAAACGTGAGCATTTTGTGCAAGTTTCTCCGTCAAGCGAATGAGTATTCGGAAAAAGTGAAATGTCAGAACACTACTACAATCAGTCCTCTCGTTATCATTCAAATTAGATCAGTGGCGGCGGTCGCCGCCGCTGCCTCTGGTGTCGCTGCTGCCGCCGATGCCGATGATGATGATAAAGTGGTCCTTTAATCAATTCAATCACTATCATTTGCGGGGACATCTGACTTAGATGTCGATGCAAATTGCAGGTGATGTGAGAGCGTGTCGACTGTTTTGCGTATTAAACTTCTGGCGCATCAAAGCTCTTTGACCCATTTTGTGTCTGGCAAATGGCACCGAACACACCCCCGTGTCACCGGTGTCATGTTTTCTCATATCTAAGATTGCTTCAGTACCTGTAGATGACACTGCGTCCCGTCCCCAAGTACTGAGTCCTGAGCAGCCTCCCATCCAGGGTGTAGTCCTGCAGGAAGGACGCCAGGCTGTCAGGAGGAGTGTACATATTCCTGTAGTAACCAATGGACAGCAGCGAGCGCAGGTTGTGTTTGGCCATGCTGGGCATCGTGACCGCTATCAGTCGGTCCGTCTGATCGTATTCAAAGACGTATCTCCGTTGGCTGTGTAGAAGTAGCATGACCGCCTGCAAGAACACAAGAATTGTACAGCATAATGAGAGTCACTCTTCAATTGAACTAGGATGCTTCTTCATTATCTTTTGGTTATATTAGCAACGCTGATTGGGATTACGGTTGGACAGAGTACATCGGGTACAAAAGTTCACTCCTGTTCAAATGCCTTTTTTTATTTTCTTTAAAAAAATGAGACCAAGATGAATCATCTCATCTTTTTTTTCAATTTTGGAGGAACGGCCAGTTCTTGGTAAAGTGACGAGTGTGCCATATTTTCTCCACTTGATGATGACCATCTCCACTGTGTTCCTTCGAAATGATTTTGTACCTTCCTTCTGATTATTACGTTTGAACAACGATGTCCACCTGATGCTGTGGAAGCTCTATGTCAGGGGTCTCAAACTCCGGCCCTCGTGGTCCGCCCACCTGCGTTTTCCATCCCTGCCTGCTTCAACACACCTGATTCAAATGCTCAGGATCATTATCAGGCTCCTGCAGAGCTTGTTGATGAGCTCATTGAGTTTGAAACCCCTGCTCTATGAGGACCCGGGTTTGTGCTGTGAGATGTGACTTCAAAATGTCAAGAAAAGCCCACTGAAAGAAACAAAACTTTATTCAAGGTTCATCAGAGGCACTTTAACTGGTGGAAGGGTTGTGATGATTCCAATTTTAATATGAGTTTGAATGTGATTCGTTAATTCTAAACACAGGCACATCTGGAGTTTTAAGGGGGTGTGCACACTTACGTAACCACAGTTGTTTAATTTTACTTCTCCTCACAGAAACATTTATTTATTTTTTCGGTAGAGTTATCTCGATTGTAAGTCACAATAATGGAGGGGGAAAAAAGTGTTGAAATTATTTATCTTTGTCAGTTTTTTTTACCGTACATCTCAACAACCTGGCATTTGAACAAGGCTATGTAGACTTTTTATATCTGCAGCATTTGTACTTAAGAGGCTTCCTTTACTGGCTTATTCCCACAGTAAAGCAAAAAAAAAACAAAAAACAAACAAAAAAAAAAAAACAATTAAAAATTTGTGCAACTTTTTCCTGTTTTTGAAAATGGTAGAAGAAATTTAACGGAGACAAAAGTTGGTGTACACTGATGGGTAACTCGTGTGTGTGTGTGTGTGTGTGTGTGTGTGTGTGTATTCTGTAAAATGTATCTAAATATAATGCTCTGCTTTGGTTAAAAAAATAATATTGCAACTCTACCTTATCAATTTAAAAAGGTTCTGTAATTTATATCAATTATAATCTAATAGTATAATTAAAGTGTAATATTAAAGTCAAAAACTGACACTGATTATAGTTCAGGATGAATGCATTTTCATCCAAATGGATTTTAAGGACAGAAATTAAACCGTAATTTGTCACACTTGTAAAGGAACATGCTGGTATTCACAGGGTACTCCTTGCCAATTAATTTCGTCTCTTGCACCACACACATTTCAAAGGCTATTAGGCACATAGACAACCTGCTTTCACTGGATACACTTCTTTTACATCCAAAAAAACCTAAAGTTCACTGAGGTATTTTGAAACATAACCCCGAAAAGTTCTTTTGCACCTTGTTTTGTGATGGACGAATGAGTTAAATTCAAACTGTAAAAGCACATTTGAAAGTCTTATCATCAAAGTTTGTTTTCAAGTCATATTCTGAGAATATTCGAGTGTGCTGATGAAAACACGCGGCCGGGGTCTTACTCTGTCTATGTATGTGTAGCTCCATATCTTCCCATTGACCCAGGCTCTGGATACCACCTTGTCATTCTCGTATTTGAGACGTTCAAACCATTCCCCACGATGGATGGCTGACAAGAGTCCACCTCCAGAGTAGCTGACATTTACTTCAGTGTATTTGCTGCTCGGAGACCACACCACAGGGCGGCCAAGAATATCATATTGGATATGGAGGGTGAACTTTCTGTGGTCATCATAGATCTTGCCCACTCGTGTGCTCTGATCAAAGTCTATGGACAGCAAGTTCCTGTTATGTGCCTGAGAAAAGAAGTTGCAAAAGAGGAAAAGCTTGAGGCCACACGACCAAAGTGAACAGAATCAAATCGAATAACCAGGCAACATTTTTACTCGAGTGCTGTATAATCAAAAATCAAAGGTCGCGAGCCGCTGGGATATACAGTATAATTCCGCACGATAACTTTCATGACTCTCGATTAATCAGTAAAGTGACATTTACAGTAAATCGTGTGCAAATGAAAAATCCCAATCAATTATTACGCCTGAAGTTTCATTTTCCTCCGTAACGACTATTATGACTTTCTTCTCATGGGTCGACTGTGACGCCGAAGATGAGAGGTGTCAGCGTGGTGAACATAACGGTTTGTGACAGTTTGTGACTCATCTGTAGTAGTTATGTGATGGCAGTGATGACTCAGAACAGAAACATTTGATTGCTGAAAATATTTACTTGAAAGTCTCACTCATTTATAATAGTGTGTGTCTATGTTTTGTCCAGTTCGTCAATATTTTACATATATTCATTTCTGCTGATGTGTTTTCTGCATGTGGCACACAAATGGAGCCGCAGACCAATTGAGATGTCTAATTCATTCATGGTGATAACGTAGCGACTTCACAATTGAAAACGTAATGCTTTCATAGCGATGGGTCGTGTGTGTTTCGCACAATTTTTTTTTTTTTAGACTCGGATCTCAACAAGTAGCCACCCTGTAGCATCGCTAGTTGTCATGGCAGACCTGGCATCGGCCCAACAGAGAGGGGGTGTAATTATTGATCCTTTGGATATTTTTACTGAAGGTTGTCACAAACATAGTGTACAATTAAGACACTTGGAAACTGTATTGAAGTATGGAAAAAAAAACCCAACACATAATAGAGTATGCGTCCTTTCAAATTTACTATAATTGTGCTATCGGGTGCCCTTAAATGGTGGGAGCACAAAATGGCCATGTCGTTGTCTTTGTATGTATGTTTTATGTTGCTGAAACCCAGAAACATTTTGCTTTTGCGGTAACTTTGCATTTTACCCTCAGCCTGCGTTCATAAGTGGTGTAGTTTGTCTTGCTTTGCTCCTTCCTTTGCCTCCATTCAATTAGACTGGGGGCGTGGTCACCGGGCAGGCTGATGTTACAGCGGCTGGCGGTTGGGCTGACTCCACCCCCAACACCTCCCGGCAGAAAGGGCTCTGTGCTCAGGGACAGCTCCATCCCGCTGGCCAGCGACACAAAGAACGAGCCGTCGGCGTTGACTTTGTAAGAACTCTGTGCATGGTCTGGGTGTCGATTTATGGACATGACACACACACACGCACACACACACACACACACGCACACACACACACACACACGCACACACACACACACACACGCACACACACACACACACACGTAGACACAGACAAACAGGAAGCCACACACAGAAACCCCAACCACACATGCACGCAATGGAAATGTGCATTAAGGTGAAGAAAAACAGAAAATAAATCAGTCTGTTTTTCAATAAACAACCTTAATTTACCAAAAAAAGCCACAGTCAGTCTTTCAAGAAAATAAAGCAAAAGATTAAAAGAGGTACAAACCCAAAAGCATGTTCAATCTGTGATTGATGGCTTTGACAGTTTTTCACACTTTTGCGCTTTCTCACAAAGCAGTCAATCAATCCATGTAGCCTACTTAGAGCTGATGTACAGTGTGCACGGACTAATCAAGCTGGTCCTCACGTTTGTGCCAATTACAAAACACAATGATCCGAAAAATTATATAGGCCTAATAATAAACCTCTATTGGAGCAAGTAAACTGGGTCGTAACTTCTATCCTCTCCTCTACTATTAAACCTTTTGTATGTGTTGGTGCCTCAGCTGCAGTAGACACTGTTGCTCATGGGCTGATGGGTAGAAGAAAAGGATGGGGGTGCGGGGGGGGGGGCACTCGAGCTGTTCCCAAGCAGAGCTCTCATTGTGCGAATGCCTTCATGCATGCACAATATAAAAGCAGACCAGCGCACCCATTATATCATTATGAGTGCTGGGCAGCAATTCAGGCGATGAAATGAGAAGAAAGTCAGACGAACTATCGGGTGAATTTAAAGGGAAGGAGGGGAGCTGCTTCCGTTGGCCGTGTGTCAGCGGCGTTTTCTCTTCTATCTGAACTAGTCGAGCAAAGTGCCTTCCATCCATTCTCTACCGCTTATCCAGGGTCGGGTCGCGGTGCGTCAGCTTTAGCAGGAAAGCCCCCAGCTCTTCCCGGGGCCTCCTGCCGGTGGGACATGCTTGGAACATCTCACCAGGGTGGTGTCCAGAAGGCTTCCTAATCAGATGCCCAAGCCACCTCACCTGGTTCCTCTCGAATTGGACGAGAATCGGCTCGACTCTCAGCCCCTCCCGGATAACCGAGCTTCTCACTTTGAGCAACGTAACCAAAAGAAAGAAAACTCCACCCATGCACACAGTTAGACTGTGCTTTGCGTAAGACTTGCGCTAGGCGCAAAAATAGGGCCCTAAGAGCATTTTTATTGTTGTCAAATGTCAAAACGCTAACAGACAAAAAAAACCCAAAAGAGGTCATATCATCTAACCCTGAAAAAAAAATACAGCCGCTTTCTTGCCATTTGCCAGCCATAAATGTTTAAACATCATTTATAACTTCACGGCCTCCCTTTCTTACAGAGCTGTGAATGTTCGGTCGAGCCCCCGATGACTCATAAATGCCTTTGCAGCATATTGCTGGAGAAGAAGATGGAGGCAGATGCATGAGGCTGATTTTATGCTCTTTCAGGTGTCAGCCACCCACAGTAAATGGGAACATTACATCTTTAACCCCAATACTTGGTTTCATGTCATCGATTTGCTTTTCGTACATTTCAGCCATTTTCCCGCCCTTGGGCACAAAACGCAATGGGTGTTATACCTCGTTTGAATGTGTAGATAGTGTCACTGGCAGACAGGTTCGTGCTGGTGACAAAGTTCTCCCGGTTGGATGCTTCAACCTCAACCCTCGACCAGCGCTCCAGGTTGCCTTGGAAACCACGCACATCACCCGTCGGGAGGGTGATGTTGGTCAAGCGGCCTTCGTTGTTGTACCTGTGAGAACAAACACAAAGGCGATGATGGACAAGTGCAACTACACAGATATGATTGTGCCATTTGGACGAACAAAATACACACACACACACACACACACACACACACACACACACACACACACACACACACACACACAGAGTATGTCCACACAATAACGCTTCACTTCCACACAAGTGGCAGCTTTGATTTATACAGGCAATTATCCAGCTGTGAGATGGTAAATAATTCAGACTGATGCGTGTGCGTGTGCGTGTGCGTGTGTGTGTGTACTTTATCTTTTAAACTGAACATATGCACAAGCAAAGCATTGTATAAAGAAATCTTCCAGATAAACTCACCAGTCTCATAATGTAATAAAGTACAGATGGATATTGCATTACAAATGTTAATGTACCAGCATTTTACTTTGTTATTTATATGTCAGGCAGCATTCACTTTTACTGCACTACATACATTTCCAAAATAAAATGCAAGCTCTTGCTCTGAAACATGCCCCCTGACCGTATTCGGTAATCGTTACTACAAATTCAAATCTGAAGAAATTGTGCGTTGACCAATTGAGCACAAATCAGAAGAATAGTTTTATGTGTAATTTATTTTCCTAGGCAGGGCCTTTTCATACTGTAAAGTGCAGCCAGCTGATGAGCAGGCTCGCTAAATAAATAGATGGATGCATTTGATATACTGTAACTCCTTTTTCTCTTGTCAACTCGCACCATGACACTCAGTAACGTCTTGTTTCTTTGATTGGGTTCATGAATGAACAAATAGGTGCTGTGCAGCCAGGCTTGAGAAATTGCAGCTTGAATAAACAACGAGCGCAATCCAGCACTTGTGCGGACGTGGCTTTCTGCCTCTTTCATTCCACCACACGAACCCAAAACCTTACACTGATGCGGTCCGGACACCAGGAGGCAGAAGTAATGAAAATGAGATGCAGAGCATCACAAGTTCTTATTTACGTGACCGGGCTTGTGCAATTTTCATATTCTCCGATCCAGACTTCTGACACACCCACTGCATGTAATATGATGAACCGAGACTCCTGAATATCATTTCAATCGGTGAAAAAAAAAACAAAAAACTGAAGCACACTTTAAAATTTAAACTACCTTACACTAGTGGATATGTACTGTAGTCGGCCAGTCGGGACGAGCAGAATACTCGATCTTGCGATTTATCTTACACGTCGGAAAGCGTTTTTTAAAAATTCTGCATGAAAAGCATGTCGTTGTAATTAGTGAGTGCCCTGCATTTGTTTTCTTCAACAAAGCTGGCCCATGTAAAACTCCAATGACTTGTCTTTTAATGTTGGAACATGTTTGAAGTGAAATCGTTCCTCACAGTTGCAGGTGGCACTGGAAACAAACAGCGAAAAGTAGTCTGCTAACGCCGATACGCTCCACATATAAATACTGCAACTAAAATGCTGTAATCTCCAATTCACAGCACCTCTTTGTTCAAGTCAATACAATGATTTTTTTCATTCAGTCTCTGTGAGGCCACACACAGTAGTTGGTCTACTGTTGATTATTGAAATCAGAAGCAGCAGTCAGGGTCTGATTGTGAACTGAGCCTCCTTGGCAATACAAAGAAAATACAATAACAAAGAAAATACAAATCAATCTGCAACTAAAATGCTGTAATCTCCAATTCACAGCACCTCTTTGTTCAAGTCAATACAATGATTTTTTTCATTCAGTCTCTGTGAGGCCACACACAGTAGTTGGTCTACTGTTGATTATTGAAATCAGAAGCAGCAGTCAGGGTCTGATTGTGAACTGAGCCTCCTTGGCAATACGGTGGTTGAAAACAAAGAAAATACAAATCAATGTGACGGTGGCACTTTAAATCCATTTGATAGCTTCCTGGAAGTCATTTTTTTCTTTCTTTTACAATATTATGGATGTGTAGTATGGGTGGTAAACATTTCAACTGCATCCAAAGTTCAGCTTTAATATGATGGTGGTGCACCTTCCCGAGGTGTTTGACTTACTACAGTCTCTGACATCTATTAAGAGGAAAAATGCTGAAGTTGGCGTGAATATTGTGCGCAAGGCCAAATTTGATAAAAAAAAAATGCTCAAATTTTAGGGTTGCTCCGGGTATCTGCTATGTAAATGACAAACTTAGGACCTTCAACCACTGAAGACTTATTTTGGGGGAAAACTTAGATTATGTTAAATATCCAAAGATTAAGTACAGCAAAATTCAGCTGCTTCAAGACACAAGTAATATTCTACTGTGTGACTTTGACATCTAGAAAAAGTTTTTTTTTGGTTAAAATACTTGTGTTGGTATTGTTACTCAAGTATCGCTTTCGGTTAGTTTTATACAAGAACGTCAATAATGTACAAACCCTAATTCCAATGAAGTTGGCAGCATGCAATGATTTGGGAATTTTTTTCAAACTATATTCAAATGAGTTTTCTACAAAGACAAGATATTTAATCTTCAATCTGATAAACTTGACGGTTTTTAGCCCCCAAAATATTCACTTTTCAATTTGAGGCCTGCAACACCAAAAACGCTGGGCCAGGGGCAACAAACGACTGGGAAAGTTGGGGAATGCTCCAAAATTTGGAAAATTGACACACGAACACATTAAATGGAAACAGGTGAGTGTCCTGATGAAAATCAAGTCGAAAAGTTTTTTCCTCAGGAGGGTTGGAAAAAAAAATCATTCCCAGCAGATGGTCCTGACATTCCATGCAATCTATCACTATGAGTCCAATCACGGTTACTGAATGACAACCACTGAGCGCAGAACTTACTCATACACAGTGGTCCAACTGTTCTCATCGCTCTTGGTTGCTAGGAGACCGGTGTTACCGTGGTAAATGATGTGGGCGACGTCGTGACCTTGTGCGGAAACCTTCCTCAGTGTTCCGCTGTTACTCAGAGACAAGCGGTACACCTGGCCACCAGGTAGCGCCAGCCAGAGCGGCACACCGTGAGCATCTCTCTTCACCTGCAGCCCATGAGCATCACGACCCGTCACTGCAGACAACAGGCCGTCTCTACCGTAAGAGAAATTGTACAGGTAGTGGCCGGTGATCAGGTGCTTAGTGTGCAGGTGGGAGCCATTCTGTTGTGGAAAAAAAAGAGGCATACACTTATATTACAATCACATTTCTATTTCTGATCGTGCATAAACTAGCTACATTGCATCAAAATTATGCCACTGAAAAGGACCATCGTGTTCATGTTTATGATAGTTGTTGCAGTGGCGTATAATGGCACTGAATCATAATAAGAATGAAAAATGCAAATAAATACTTTGATAATTTCTTTTTTTTTTCTTTTCTTTCTTTTTCTTTTTTTTCCCCCGCCAATTCTGCTGCTGTAGACTGCAAATTTCTCCAGTGTGGGACAAAATAGGTTAGCTTATCTTATCTTAATCTTTTTGGGTCACAAGAGAGGGAGAACACCTCTCTGTTAGCTTCACTTGATAGTGCTCATTAAAAAGAGAGCAATGTTACAGGAGGTTATGTATTGACGTCAGTGTGTTTGTTATTTCGTTTTGGTCACCATTCATTGACCACTTCTAACCCGCACGTCATCATAAGAACATGGCTGGAGGAATCTGGTGATAAAATTGTCCTCGGTGATGTGGAACAAAAAGAAAAACGGAAGGTTTTAAAACTTATCTCTGACCATGCTCCGTTTAATGAATGCTGCATGGTAACTGATTTTTTTTTTTTTGTTCTCTTACCACCGGATGGGACCGCATGTGGGAGAATGAGCCGAGGGCTTTCACTTTTTCTGCATATTTTTTTGATTATTATAAGAGCCAAGCAATGTGCAATCTTGACAGAGGTGTGAACTCCACCGAGTGCCTTTTCAGTTGGTCTTACATTTTTTTAAACAAAATAAAATGTTACTCCTGTCGATGAGCAACACTAGTAGCTTGGGCAGTGGCTTGATTGAAAATGGTTGATTTTATTTTCACAGAGAGCCGCTTTTCACAGAGAGCTCTGCGTGTACAGATGACACCACAGCAGCTCAATAAAAACCAACGCATTGAATAATTAAAATCCATTTTATTTTGGACAGCACATAAGTGTTAAACATTTTACTGTAACTAAATTACGGTTACGCTATCTTTATTGTATCTCTCGGTCAATACGAAAAGTACTGTCATCAATTAGACTGAACGGCTCGTTTATTTCATACATGTTATTTACCTTATAAATACACTACTCAGGAGGCTAAAGTCAGAGTCTTTAAAGACTTTTGAAAAACATTGTAGAACTAAATTAATATGTAGAATGTTTCCTGATCAAGAAGTTGTTGGTATTACTTTTGCCTGAGAATCAGCTGTGTGGGTCAGGGTTGCTAGGCAACAGAGCGGAGGCTCTCTGACACAGGTTTGACAGCAGGAATCGGCCTGGCAAATAAGAAATCAGCAATTGTACACTTCTGACTCGCTACATCATTGCATCATGAGCCGAGAATATCCTGTTCTCACACACACACACGCACGCACGCACACGCACACACACACACACACACACACACACACACACACACACACACACACACTTTTCGAAAGACTAAACTGCAAATGTAAAAAAGTGCATTCATAGAAAGTGTCAGGGAACGCACCATGCAAATTCTAACTGCTACTACTTGTGACTAAGACATTTTCTCAATCGCAGTTTGTCTGTTATCAAAGCAGGTAAAAAAAAAGAAAAAAGAAAAAAAAAAGAACGTGTTGCAAGCCACAGTGGTTTACCAAGAGAAACATTTTAGACTCGGTCAACCAGTATGTTAACTCGCAGCGGGTCTTAAACTGCTATGGTTATGGTTATGTTTGGTTAAAAGCCTGCAGCTTTTTGAAGATTTACATATCCATCCATCCATCCATCCATCCATTTTTTGAGCCTATCACAGCTGTCTTCGGGCAGTAGGCAGGGGAACGCTCTGAACCGGTTGGCAGCCAATCGCAGGGCACACAAAGATGAACAACCATCCGCGCTCACACTCACACCTAGGGACAATATAGAGTGTTCAATCAGCCTGCCATGCATGTTTTTGGAATGCGGGAGGAAACCAGAGTACCCGGAGAAAACCCACGCAGGCACAGGGAGAACATGCAAACTCCACTCAGGGAGGCCGGAGCTGGAATCGAACTGGGTACCTTTGCACTGTGAGGTCGACGCGCTAACCATTGCTAACCGGGCCACCTCAGATTATAATATATATATTTTTGATACAACTAAAAAAGCCGAGGGTCAAATTGACACCAAAGATCACTGATGTATACAACATGAACCATCCGGATAACAAGACAGTTAAGCGCCATAAAATAAGTTAGGCATTAACAAAAATAGAGTGTCAAAAAAAATAAAGCACGATAGCATGATTGCTTGACACGCTTTATTCCCCCAAATTAGAGACCATGTACCTGGCTGAAGAGATAGAGTTCCTGGTCGAGTGGAGAGCTGATCTCCACCAGTCCAGCCGGGCCAGGCTGGGGCTGGTTGGGGCTGACAGCTCGGATCCGAATGTTCCCTAGATCAGCGATGTACAGCGTGCCATTGGGACCAACGGCCAGAGAGGAGGGAGCTTTGAGTCGGGCGTCACGAGCGTAGCCGCCGTCACCTCATAAATGACACAAAATTTGGAGTTAGCACCACGTTGCCACATTAAGTTACAAACCACCCTCATAAGTACACATTCTTTTGACAAGTAAACGTGCATCCAAGTTTGCAAATAACATTTCATGGAGTGCCCAAAGCAGGACTTGAACTCCACTAGCTCCTCAATGGACTGGATCAGATCAGCATGATACTGACTCAATAGATTCACATGTTGTGGTAGCACAGCAGGATAAGCGGTTGGTGAAGCCCTTTAAATGTAGCCAGCAGGAAGCACAGAGCCTCTGGCGGGCCAGCGCAGCCACTGGGATGGCGGTTTACCTTTGAACAGCAGACAGTACCTATCCAGCTTTCTTGTGAGTATTTTATGGATGCATGCTGGCGCTCAAAGACAGAGACTTGTGTGAGTGTGAGTGGTGAGGACATGGAAAACGAAAAGCCTCTGAAGAGTGTAATCATCAGTTAACAGCAAGACATGATTGAAAATATGCAAAGCAAAGCTCAAGAAAAAAGGGACTGTTACAGCTCATTGGTTTGTGGCATGAGGGAGACTTCCCTTTGCCTTGAAAAGGGAGGGGGATGAAAAATGACAGCTTTTTGTGAGCTGAATTAAATGATAAAATCACATCCTCTGACACTTACAATGGAAAGCAAGGCCTAAGTGACAAAAAAACATCTGCTTATTTGTTTGGTCCTTTTCTCAACCTTTTATTAGATATCCGCTGCCCTGCAATGATGTGCCACCCAGTTTAAAACCTTCATCTGTTACAGCGGAAGAGCTTTTCGTTCGCCAGCCATAAAATGATTGGATTCGAAAGGCTTTTGTTGTGCAGGTTTCCAATGGTATTCAGGTGAAGGTCTTTGCAAAGGACAGACGAGCGCATGAATACAAATACAACTTTTGCACAAACATACAGTATGAACACTTGTATAGCCAAGACAGGTTCAATTTTAACGCACCTTTAAATCTCCCTTTTTGATCACGTTCATACTTAAGGTCATTGTCGCTGGTCAAAGTTCAACTTCCATGTGAATTAATTAAGAACGGCTGAGCAAAGACCAACTACATGCACAATGGAAAAAGGACAAAATGTCTTCAAGTGAAATACATTAATTCCTTCATGCTTCACCTTTTGCGGCTTCGGTGCTTTGTTGATTTTTCCAAACTACTGAATTCATAAAAAAATGTAATCAAAAAATAAAAATGAAAAAAAAATACAGCCATTATCGGCAGCCCTATTGCAGAAAGGCATGTTGTTTGATGTTGATGCGCGAGAGAGAAGGTTTCCCTACATGCCGAACAAAGAGATTAGGTGACTCAGAGGCTTTGTACGTGATGTACATGCCACGGGCACTCATACAAGGCGCGTGAGTCGTTCCCGGCGCGACATTGACTGATGAGAGCACGAGCGGATTAATGCCGTGAGCTGATTGGCTGGCTGCGCATCATCGCAGCCTCTCCCAGCACATTCCGTTGTTGTGGCTCTTGAGGCTCCTATCTATGTCTGTATCTTAGTGATGCATTTGCATTTTGTTTCGGCAATAACTCGCTGTGCTCCAAACACTTGCCGCCGCCGTTCCATGTGTGTGGTAGCATGTAAGCCCGCTCGTTCCGGTCCCCATTAACTGCGAAAAACGAGGGATGCATATAACTTGAACATTGAGCAGAAAGATGTAATCACACCACTTGGTGACTTCAGTTTCAACTTGTCATCAAGCTTTTAGGATGTAATGTACTTTTAAACCAGGCCAAGAGCTCATTTCGAATCCAGATACCATACATGCTTGTTCTTAAGACTGGAATCCTATTATGCATGATCTAATATGGTGACAATATGATGGCGGCATTCACATTACATAAGGATGTGGCTCTGTTGTGTGTGTGTGTGTGTGTGTGTGTGTGTGTGTGTGTGTGTGTGTGTGTGTGTGTGTGTGTGTGTGTGCGCGCACAAAGTGCCAGATAACCTACCGGAGAAGCAGTCACAGTTGGGGTCTATCTTGCAGTCACAGTCCGTAGGAGCGCCACAGATAACTGAAATCTCCCCGTTGGTTGACACCTGCGTAGTGTTCAATAATCCATGTCACACAAGGCAACAAAACAGACCAATACTGACGCTAACGTGTATAACCGTGTTCGATAAGGCTGCATATTTCAAACAACTCGGCTCTAAGTATGAATGTAAATGACACAATTATTAAACGATCCATGTGCTCATCAATCCTCATCCTCAACAACAGTAAAAACTCAACTCAACTCAACTCAACTGTATTTATAGAGCACTTTCAAACAGCCTGCATACAAAGTGCTGTACATGGAGCAATTTAACATATACAACAAACAGTAAAGCAAATCGGTAATAAAAACAGTAGAAAGCACCGAACAGCAAAACCAAGAACAAAAACATAACTATAAGCAGTATGTTTATGCATGCTTAGCAGAAAACCATGATGATATATTTTTACGAAACATTGAATTCATGATATCAAATGGTAAACGCACGAAAAAAAAGTCTATCATGATACCTTTAGATTGCTTTTTTTTTTTTTTTTTTGGGATACAATTTAATTGTTGAGCTGATTCTATTCAAAACAGTATATGCATCATTTGAAACGGCTGCAAGCAGGTCTGTTTTTATCGAATACACGGATGAAAATTAAAAAGGACTATTTGTTGCCACGCACATTCGGTGCTCGATTTAGGCCTTGAACTTACAAGAGTTTCATCAGGTGTTTGTTTCAAAGAGACAGAGCTGATTTCAAATGTCTTGGGACTTGACTATGATCAAGGCTTCAAAACTATGCCCTCCACATGGAACAGGAGCTCTCAATTTATGCTTGTCACGATTTGCTCGCTGTCTGTTCTGTGAGTGCGCTGAGAAGAAACATCCTGTGATCGTACAGACTAGTGCATCTGTGCGGGAGGCAAATTGAGTGCTTTGGATGAGCCCACAAACGGATTCGAGCAGCAAGGAAGGGTATTAGTGGTTGCATGTGGCATACAATTCCTGCTAGCACACTCTATGCGCCCTGCGATTGTCTGGTGACCAGTTCAGGGTTTACCCTGCCTCTCACCAAATGTTAGCTGCGATTGGTTGCATCTCATTTGTGACTCAAATGAAGACAAGCACTATAGAAAATGGATGGATAGACTTTTGTTGCCACGGAACTGTACAGAGGGGTTTCTCATAGTTTTTTTCAAATCCTCTGTTGGTAAGAAAGATACAATTGCGCATTGTCCTTATATTGGCTCTAATCAGACTGCCCTGATGAATTGGGCAATAAGTGTACACCTTATTAAATTTGGAATGCATTTTTACTCAGGAGGAACCATTTCCCGCACATGTCAACTGCTGCACCATGGCGAAAATTGGTATGTTTATGAGACAATGAGTGTAGGTTACATACATTTAAATTGGCTTGTTTTGTTAAAAATCGATCGCTGAAATGCGTCTTACAGAAAGAAGCACCCTCGTGAGCCATGGATGTTCAGTCTTCATTGCATATGAATATCCGTTGAATGTGTGGGGTTGGCCAGCTCATTATTTTATTTATTGCCTCGTTCACGGCTTAGGACCTTGAAGAAGGCGTTTGCGAAGATGATGTAGGGCGGACGTTTGCTTTCATGACGTATTAAAGGGCTTCTTGCGCTGTGGTTGCTCGGCATGAAGTGCGTGGCTGCCTCTGGCTCCGTGTTTATATTCCGTGTATATACCATTTTAATCAAGTCAGATGGGACCGTCTCCAGCACACTCGCGACCCCAGTTAGAATAAGTTGTGGAGAAAATGGATGGATTTTCTGAGATGTGGAAAGAGCTGCAAAACAAGATCTGCATGAGAGAGTCAATGTTGCCTGGTATTTGTTGGCTCAAAAAAATCCCCCGAAGGTCCACCCATCCATCCATTTTCCGATCCGCTTTATCCTCACAAGGGTCGCGGGGGGTGCTGGAGCCTATCCCAGCCGTCTTTGGGCAGTAGGTGGTACACTCTGAACTGGTTGCCAGCCAATCGCAGGGCAAAAACCCGAAAGTAAATTGACAAAATGAGTGAAAGGCAACGGAATCAACACTATTTATTGTGTGACCGATGAGGAAAATGTTTTCTTCCCCAAAGATACTCTTTGCCACTTGACTCAGTGACCTGGGACGATTGATTGATCCCACCAGGCCGTATCGTTGTTGGTGCTGGTGCTTAACTTTCAGGAAGTATTAGGATGTAGGAAAACCGCATTAGAGCAGAAAGCATGAAAATGAAATGCTGGATTGTTTTTTACCTTAATGACTTCTCAGCCTGAGCATTATAGCAATACTTTGGATGAGAAACTTGACTGAAAAGCTTTGTGTGGTTTGTAAGAGGGCTGTTAATGAATGAATTGAGTGTTTAATTGATGATGTGACCTGCTGAATGCGATTGATGCGCCTCTCATCAGTCTCAGCAATGTACAGGGTGCCCAAGTGCGACACGGCGATGGCTTTGGCTGCTTCCAAAGTGGCCCGAACTGCAGCTCGGCTCATTAGATGGTGGTCAATACCTGGCACCTGGCAGTGGATGGGACGGCCGGCGACAATACGCACCTGAAGAGTCTCTGATACCTAAAAACAAACACATTCATGTGTTAACCATAAAAAGGAGGAGTATAAAATATACCTTTCAGCTTCTATCTGGCAAAATGAAAAAGTATACGCCCCCTCTATCAAGCTTGCATGTAACACATTTACGTCAGACGGGGGAATTGTGTATGTGTGTGTGTGTGTGTGTGTGTGTGTGTGTGTGTGTGTGTGTGTGTGTGTGTGTGTGTGTGTGTGTGTGTGTGTGTGCGCGCGCACGAACGGGGGAGTGAGGGCGCTGTGGACGCCGCCCCCCCCCCATTTCACACATGTAAAAATGAAAGGTTACGCTGAGTGAAGACTACTTTCTGTTCCCGAATTGTCAAATGACATGGGGGAGAGGCAACTTCGTGCGCTGAAATGCTCAAATGGGCGCAACATGACCCCAGACATGCCAGATTCGACTTGCTCTGGCATGAACATATAGTTATGCCCGTTTTAACACTGAGTGCATTTGCACCAGTTTGCCAAAATAAGGCCCTCAGACATTCACAGCCATAGTTGACATTTTACCATGTCAATGTGATGTGATATTCATTTCAAGATCATCTTTTTTGACACGATTTCGGTGTCTACATGAATCTACTTTTGGCTGGCATGTTTTTTTACATTAAAGTGAGTGACAAACAAAAGAACAGCTTCTGGAATGACAGCTACAGTATATGGTGTCTCTTCAGCAGTGAGCAAGATTTTCACTTCATTTTACGTTACTTTTATCATTCAGAGAGTACAGATAAAGCGACAACAAGGCAGTTTGCTAGAAATCATATTTTCCTCTCCAGCAAACAGAATCAGCATCTCCCAGAAAAGCACACAGATGCAGGGGAACGAGGTGTAGAATGAAATCATTGGCGGTTTGCTCTACAATGTATTTATGTGGATATATACGTGTGTGCGCCTACCTGTAACACAATGTTGTTGTCTAGGATGTAGAGGGAGTTGTCCAGAGGGTTTATCGCCAAGTCTGTTGGCCACTCCAGACGAACCTGCACACAGAACATATCGTCGATGTTTTCATATTTAGGCATGAATAAAACAGCCTTGGCAGTGGCACTGAGGATCAAGTGTCAGTTACAGGTGATATGAACATCTACATAATAACATAGCATTTGGCCGCCTGGCCCTTCATGCACATGCAAAGGTCAGCTCAGCATCAGGCAGGGAGCATTTCCTGTGCTTATTGAAAAGCCACAACTGCTCGTTTCAACAGTGATCCAAATGTCAGCCAATAACCGTGATCGCCACATTCTGAAATACCGCACCCTGCTTACTAACACTGTGGGGGTCAGAGACATACAAAGCGATACTGGAGCCACCCACATTGCTGTCCCCCCCGCATAGGCACACACAATAAAACACAAACTGGAGGCTTTGTCTGAGGAGATTTGTCGAAGGCGGAAGAGAGGTGATGGATGACGCTGGAGTGGGATTGGTAAATAAATGGATCATGTTAAATTGCCACTGACATGTCCAATTATAGGCTCTGTCAAATGGGAAAGAAGAGATTTCAGTCTGAAATCCCATCTTAATGGGTGGAGAAATTAATCAAGCAAGGCTCATCCTGTCTTGAGACAAAAGGCGACACACACCAGATCTCAGCTCGCGATGCTGAACTTTTCAGTAAAGGCAAGGCAAATGCTGATGCATACTGCATACAAAGAATCCGGCCTGAACAATTTCTGTCAAAGAGAGCTCAAAACTTGGTGAAAGCATTTCACCGTTGTTATAAAAAGTCAGTGCCCGTGCTCAGAACAAATGTTTTGACCTCTTCATGAGCCACAAATGCAAAATTCTTTTAACACAAAACCTGATGCTGTGACTGAAGAAAAATTCAAAAGAAAAGGGTTAGAAGTGTAAACTCTAGCTCTGTTTCATGAGGAACGAAAGAGGTTTTTGGAAATAGAAATCAAGTTTTGTCTCCATATAGTCAACAGATGAATCACTTAAGTGTCTGTCAATAGTTGACTGTGGAGTGCTTTCTCAGTTGGCTTTTGGGCCGGAGAACAAAAAGTCCAATTATTCATGGCCCATAAATTATACAATCTGCCATTTTCGGTTTTGATTGACACTCTCTGAGATACATCAATTTACAATTGACAAATGTGTCTATGAGTGTCCTGTGTTCAATACGAATCTATAAGACATTTTTTTTTTGGACAGAAGCACAGTGAAAGTGTTATTTCGGCCCGAAGTCCAAGGACAATCTAAATAATGATGTTTCACAAATGTCTCAATTTTGTTTTTGGATTTTTTTTTTTTAAATCATGTTGGCAGTGGTTGGTTAGCAGCACACCGAGCAGTTTGTGGGTTGTCCACAAATACTCTTTACACAATTTTCCTTAAGTTGTGAGTAAGAAAAAGACAAACAAACAAGCAAAAAAACCCAACAACATCATTTTCATGATGCACGCCTTCTTAAATATGATAGAACTGCACTGCTATCACAGCAAAAGTCCACAACCACTGGACTTTTAGACTACGCTTCACAAAACATCAAGTGGTTTAATTCAAAAGTCAGTTTGACTTTGCACAAAACTCATGCCAACAATCTGCTGTTTATTTGGCATAAATTAGCCTGGTCGTGTTTGTCAACTCAAACAGCTACAGAAGTTTCGATCAATATTGCTGGCAGTTTGAGGTCAGTGCAGTTTACAAGCAAAAAGGCAGATGGAGTGTGATGACGGTCAGATGTGCTGCAGAGGATGATGTCTAACAGGAGGATTGAACTGGCCTCTTTAAAGACATGCAATTGCGTCTCTGGAGAGTCACCTGGCCTGAACAGTCATACCCAGAGTCATGCACACACTCAGGCACGAACAACTCTTTAGGCGTGTGTGTGCGTGTGTGTGTGTGTGTTTGTGCACAGAACGCACTTCATCTATAATTCATCTGCAGCTCTAATAGGCCTGACATAAGTCAACAGCGTGATCTGAAGGTTGGCTGATCAAATTAGATGTCTTCGGTCTTCACCAAGGCGGCACGGTGCTCGACTGGTCAGCACGTCCGCCTCACAGTACGGAGGTCATGGGTTCAAATCAGGCCCCACCTTCCTGTGGGGACTTTATTATCTTCTTCCCGTGCCTTTGTGGGTTTTCTCTCTGTTTCCTCCCACATTCCATAAACAAGCACGTGAGGTTGCTTGAATACTCTCAACTAAGTGTGATTATGAGTGTGAATGGTTGTTTGTCTATGTGCACCCTGTGATTAGCTGGCAACCTGTTCAGGGTGTCCCCCACCTACTGCCCAAAGACAGCTGGGATAGGTTCCAGCAACCCCCTCGACCCTTGTGAGCATAAAGCGAATCGAAAAATGGATGGATGGATACACACACACACACACACACACACACACACACACACACACACACACACACACACGCTGCCAAGCATAAAAGTTAGGGGTTTACCTGGCTGATGTCCATGCGCGCATCACAGCTTAGGGGTTGCGTTGACATCAGTCCATTGGAGCCAATGACAGTGGACAGGAAACCCCTTTCATTAATCTTCTGAATGGTGGTGCCATCAACAAAGTAGACAACACCCTTTTTATCCACTGCAATACCTGGTGGGTGAGAAAGCGAGGCCAAATTAGCTTTGAAGCTTATAAGAAAATGGGGATATGAAAGCACATATCAAAAAAGGGGGGGAAAAAAAGTGAGGAGTGATTGAGACATGATGGGTGAAGTCAAGAGATGATTGGACTTGGAAGCAGCATCCAATTCAGTTAGACATTCAGCTCAGCTAGTGACTGTCTTATCAAACGCGCTGCACTGCAGAAATGTAATTATGCTTCCATCCCAGAGACCACTAAAGGGATTAGAACAATACAACTGCAGGAAGAGCTTATTTGTCGCATTAGATGCAAGCAGGGTGCTTCAGTGAACTTTTGACATTTGATGCCTGCAAATTTACATTACAAATGTTCACCCACGAAGTTTGCACACGTGTTTTTTACACAACACCAATAAAAACTAATGCGCGCGCGCGTGTGTGGTGTGTGGGGTGCCGCGCATATACGTGTGCTTTTACTATGACCACAGTGCACTTGAACTCTTGCAGTCAAACACTGCAGTAGGAAGTGAGAGCGAGGTAAGTCGAGGTACTAAAGGTCATGGCACGACGACTCATCTGTAATGGATGAGGAGCGACCTCCCCACAAGACCCCCACCTCCTCCCACCTCATCTTCATACACAAAATGGGCCCCTTGACTCAACTCCTCAGCAATATTCCACGCCTCACCCCTCAGCTCTCATTCCGCGCCTTCACCGTGATTGCTTTCACTCTACATCGGCAACAATCAGCCATATTTCAGAGTTCCTTGGCACCGTCTGCAATGTACGCTGACCGCTGCTAAGCCACTTAAAAACACATTTGGTTTATGGTTTATCATTAAGTTATGGCAAGTGTTGATCCGCATCCCTTTATCAAGCTCATGCCTCAAAGGACTTCACAGAGATATTACATTTTTAGATTGAACAAAGTTTTAATCAATCACATAATTAGGCGCGCAAAAGAGTGAAAGAATGTAAAGAGCATGCTTCAGGCGCTGCACCAAGTCTGCTGCTCCTGTATGAAGGAACAAATCGAACAGTGAGACCGTATTTGAAAAGACATATCTTCTATCTATTCCTTGCATCATATCTTAATAAAATGATGACAAAAAAAAATCCTGAATCATCGATTCATCTACTCATCTTCCATGGCCCATCACTGCAGAAAATGTATTTAGATTTAGACAAGCCGTTGCTCTTAACATCCATGAATCAAAACAGTTTTAATTATGAGATCTCCACATCGGGTTGTAACAGTGGTTTGAGCGTTATTGGCTCGCAGGTATAAGGTCTATTTCCAGCAGGACTGCAATTAGCCATCACTTTAGTCATCAATTAATCTGGCAATTATTTTGTCAATACGTCTATGAATCGTATTTTAAAAAAGAGTTTGAATTTCCATCCCTATATTAAAAAACAGGAACTGTTTCAGGACAGTAAATGCAAAACCACAAATGCATTAATTAAGATTGGCTTACTGGTTTGGTCCGTGACATGTTATAGGCAAAAAAAAAAAAAAAAAAAGTGTTTGGATACATTGTTTTTATACAATGACTTTCCTCAATTAGAGTAAAACATACTCTACAAAATTTACTGTGTTGGAAGACAACGAAAATTTGAGAATAAAACGAAAATCTGTTTTTCAAATATTTGGAAATAGAGCAGAGTCAATGAATGGACTATAACCAATAATTATCAATTCATTTGAAAATCAATCAGTTGTCAAGTAATCATTACACCGATAATTTCCAGTCAGTTCCCTTGACCAAGGCTTTTAAAAGGATTCAGGATTCAGTCGCCAGGCAAAATACAGCTGAATCATAAAGCATTTAGTGTCTCAGCTTTTGTACAGTCTTGCTCAGCATGTTCACTGGCGTTACCTGTGCATGTGTATCTCCTCCTTGTGTTCTTTGTAAAATGTTTTTGTTCATTTGTGTCAATAAATATCATTTTCCAAATCTTCATTTTCTGTAATTGGGTAACCTTCCTGGGCCATGCCTCCATAACAATTCTGTCGTGTTGTCCTATGATTACAACACTTTTAAAAGAAAATGCTCCTTCCAATTCAAACCTTGTCAAATATGATCAAGCGGGATTCACATTTATCCTCCTTTTTGCACTCCACAACAGCGTTGTAAAGATCCCGTTCAAGGTGTGCATGCTCACGATGAAAACGGTGCATGGCCGTGACAACACATTCACACGTGCTCTCAAGCACTGCAACTGTGTACTGACCCAGCGGGTCGTAAATTGTGCAGGTGGAGAGGGGACGTGGGCACACAGGGCCAGGGTCAGTGTGTTTCCTCCAGAGGCCAGGAGGTGAACTGAAGGAGCTCTTCCTCCTGGCCCCTTCATCTTCTGTCTGACACAGACTGATTAAACCAGCCACAGAGCCTCATACCAGCACCCCGCACTTTAATAGCCTCAACCCACCAAACCACACTGACCCAATATGCTTCCATACACACATCTTCGAAACCTACTTTTGTCTTTTGTTTTTCTGTATTTCACAAGTGGATCAAATCAGTGGCCTCTGACCAGTCATTAATGTCAAGGCTCTACTTTTTCTTCTCCTTCTTTCATTCTCACTGACTGTGCCATTTCTTCTTTTCACCTGGCATTATGGGAAAGAAAGGTCTCAACCGAGTGCGTAGCATAAGCTTGCTCACATCTACATGTCTGCACATTCTCCTTGCTGTATATGGAGCAATGCACAGATCCATCCATTCCAATGTTTCCGTTCACTTTGGCCACATTCCACATATAACACGTCTTCTTTAAACTGTCAGAGCTCATAAATCCTGCACAAGGACAGGACAAGGAAGCCGGGATTGTGACTCAGGATCTCACTCCCTCCCGTGTCCCTGCATATTACTCTTTCTTGCGTGCATGGGACAAAATAAATTCCTTCTCATGTCTTTGTGTGCATCTTCTGCTACACTTGGACACTAATTAATGACAATATTTGACGATTATTTCTGTGTCTGTAAAATGTATTTAAGCTAATTGGTCCGAGATGCGTGTAGTTCGTAGCACAATGGATAACGCGTCTCACCCCAGGTTCGACTCCTGACTAGCTTGTGTGAATTTGGGTGGCCCGGTTAGCGTGTCAACCTCACAATGCAGAGGTACCAGGTTCAATTCCAGCTCCGGCCTCCCTGTGTGGAGTTTGCATGTTCTTCCCATGCCTGCGTGAGTTTTCTCCGGAGCTGGAATTGAATTGTTTCCTCCCACATTCCAAAAACATGCAGGCTGATTGAACACTCTAAATTGTCCTTAGGTGTGAGTGTGAGCATGGATGGTTGTTCGTCTGTGTGTGCCCTGCGATTGGCTGGCAACCAGTTCAGGGTGTCCCTCGCCTACTGCCCGAAGACGCCCCACGACCCTTGTGAGGATAAAGCGGATCGGAAAATGGATGGATGGTCTGAGATGCTGGTTGTTAAAACTGCCACAGATTAGTCCGTAAAGGCTGTATTTCCTTCTAGATAAAGATAAAGCTATGTAAAAGGGATTTCCATCCCCTTCGCACAGCCAATGGATTATCACAAAACATCAAAAGATTTGCCACGTCTCCCGCAGTAGACCTGGCAGAAATTATTCTGATGTTTAGAGGCTGGCAGCAGAAATAATTGAGATATAGTAGACATCAACTCAAGGAGGAGGTGGAAAATTTGGCAAAAATGTTGAAGTGGATTCTATCATCAAAGAAAAGCCGATCACGGTGAGTTGAACTGACCTCGGTAAAACAGCTCAGATTGAGGTGGGGGAAATGCAGCCAAAGCGCGAGAGAGAGGAAGCTTCCAGAGGAAGGGAAGAGGCAGACATGACGGTGGGACAAAAGGACGTGATGAGAAATAGCTTCAATTAAGCAAGACGAGCCAGTCGTTCTCAATCAAAACATTTCTTTTTTTTTTTTTCCAAAAGTCCTTGTCCAAAGACTACTCGCGATAACGCCCCCTGCGGCACGTCAATACAAGCTAATCTGACGAATGCCACTGAGAGGGGCTTTAGTAAGGCATCAGTGTTGATTACAGCTATTTGCAGAGAGTGAGCCACAGGAGATTACTGGGCAAACAGAATGGAAGTTTGGATGGTGAGAAATTAAATGAAGGGAGAATGGCGACAGTAATTATAAAATATGTTTCGTATTATATATTTTACAATGCAGTAATAGCTCACAGCCTGCAACAGCATATAGTAAAATCAAGATGTGGTGTGTGTGTGAGGTGAATACTAAGTGCAGCAGGGTTAACAATGTCACCGGCGATGTTTCCTTTCTATTTTGAGCTCTTTGTGCCTTTAGATACAAAAACACACCGCAAGAGCAATCTTACAAATCCTTTGTCAGGCTATCACATACCAAAACAATGACTTGTCTGCAGCATTAAGACAAAGGAGATCGATCTAAATGAAGGAGAATCACATTTGTACATGAAATGTCACACATCTGGCTTACATGCACACTCGAGCGCTACAAAAACATTAATAACCAATAAAAGATGTATCTACCAATGAAGCTTTTGTTGTGTTTGTACCTGGGATTGGCATCAATTGTATTCAATGCCACATTAAATCCTTTTATTGTTTAACCAGCAATGCGCACCTTCAGATACAACTTCAATGAATCAATGTGCTAGTCAGAGCTAATAAATCAATGTCCAATTTTAGTCATCAAAAACAGTTTAGACCACTTTACGCACACACACAAAAATCTTATCCCCAAACAACCCCTTGTAGCTGGGGTACCTCAACAGAGACATATTCGTCTTGAGGAACACCAGCTTCTAGAAGTTGGCACTGAGTGTGGCCCCCTTCGGCCTAAATATTCATCTGCCACTGTCCATCCCTAAAAATGTAGTTTCTAAGGTCGTCTTGATCTTGATACAACTACCACAGATTTGACCCAGCGGTAACAGAAGAGAAAATTGCAACTAATAGAACAACTAAATGGCCCATATTTGCAAGTGATATTTAATTATTTTTTTTTTTGCAATTGCAATATTTCACAAC